CTCTCCACTCTCCTATTTTACGGTTAAACTGTAATTAAATATAATTAATTACTGTTAGGTTTGTTTTCATTTAATTTTTATATTAATCCTAATACACAATGTATAATTAATTACTCTTTGAATTATCATTACCTCCTCTTATATTTTTTGTTAATGCAAATTAAATTTCTTACTTTTCACGGCTAAAGTACATAATGCAAGTTAAAATTTTCGCTACTAAAAATATCCTAAATAACAGTACATAAAAAGCTTCTTATAAAAAATAATAATTCGGATGTCTCTTTTCACTACCAACAGACATATATATATATATATACATATATATATATATATATATATGAATATGTGCGCGCCCGGGCACACGTAATCATTTAATCATATTTAAAAATTTTAATGTCAAACTGGATATGGTGGCACTAAAGAACACTTCCAAGCAAAGCCATATCGTCATATATGTGTGTGTATATATATATATATATATATATAGATTTGTTGCTATCATTATTTTCAATTTGACCATTGGAGTTGCGAGATTTGGGTGTGAAAGAAGTGGAATTTCTTTGTTTATATTCATCTAATTAGTTGATAGACTGGCTACTGATGATTATTTCTTCACGGCAGGTTTTCTTCATAATGGGATTTCGTTTCAAACTTTGAATTTTCTGATACTACGTTTATAACCATTACTTATACCATTATAGTTATAATTTGCATATATTTTGTTGAGTGAATAATTAAAATTGTATATAGTCCAAGAAAATTACGTAAAAATTTAAAAAAGTATGTGTAGTATTTCAAAGATTATGTAATTAAAATAATATAATGTTCTAATTATAGACATGACCATTTACATTTAAATTTTTTTTTTTTAATTTCACGGGTTATTGTAAAAGAATTCTAACTATACATATATATATATATATATATATATGTTTTCCTTTTAATTTATGGAATCCGAAAGGTAGCCTTGGGAGGGATTTAGCTAGAGCTAGGCTCCAACATTTTAAGTGACGATAAATATTTGTAACTTTATGTTTAAGCAAATTCTGTTTATAATATCATATTAATACTTTGTTTAATTTAATTTATTGGTTTTCTTTGAAGCCAATAAATGCACATAATATAATGTGACAAATTTCCTGCTTTATTGGAAATCCGAACGTTTCTCCTTTCTGTGACGAACGTGCTCTTCTTATCCTCCCCAAGTTTCCTTTTTTGTCTACAAATTTATTGATAAATTTCCTTTGATTGCGCTCTGTTTTCCTAAACTTGGGTAAGTACACCCACACCCACACACACACACATATATATACACACACACATACACATGTGTACGTGTGTGTGTGTGTGATTTCAAATATACATATATATATATATGTGTGTGTGTGTGTGTGTGTGTGCACATAGAGTGTCAATTTTTCAATTAAACTAAAACGAGTCGAGTTTTCTAGAAAGAGCTTGTCACCTTGTTAACCTTAATAATTGAAATCATTAAAATTTGTAATTATTGATGTGATACCTAAATACCAAATTTTTATATAACAACTAACAAGCCTTTTTTTTTTTTTTTTCCCATGAAATACTTCTATGAATATTTAAATTATTAATAAAATTCACTCAATAAATATATAATGTTGTTTATTTTCTAAAGCATATATATATATATATATAGATTTTCTAACACCCAAAGTAAATATCAATCTTCAAGAAGTCTAAAAATACAAACACAAAACGTAGTTTACTTGTATTAAAAAATATGATGGTTTGAGACAAACTAAAACCCAAATCATCATCTTTAAAAATGTTCACTTCTCTTTTTATTTTACAAATGAATTAAATCAATATTTACACGAGAGTAAAAAAACACGCGTACGTTCTCTTCACCCACGTATAAATAAATTTGAATGCAACTCTAAATGTAATCGATATTATTTGCATTAAGACATACGCAACACATGTATAAGGACACGATCACACATGATTTCGCTCTTTCAACTCATAATATCATGTTCTTCAACAATAGAAACCATAAATCTTATACGTTCAAGTAGATTTGAAAGTGATTTATCTTTTTAGGGAAAGAAAATAAGAAAAGAAAGAGTTTTGTAATGGAAACAAGGCTTTCATCTTGTAGGCTCAACAAGTCGCCTCGTGAAATGTATAAATGGGCCACATAGCTTGTCATAAATTTGAGTGCGCACTCTATTGCTTAACTTTACATGGCTAATACAATTTCTTTTTTTTTTTAATAAAAAAATTATTTTTGACGTCATATATTTCATTAGACACAAAAATTAACTATAGACGTTGTACTAATTACTAGGTTGTATTATATTATTTTTCAATGAACTTCAATAATATATGTACGATCATTTTTCATTTTCAAATTTACATACATTTAGTTTATATTTCTAACTTTTATCAAATTAATTAATATATAAATGAATATTATAAGATATGAGCCTAGTCTAAATAAATAAAGAAAAAATTGGTGTGAGTCATCAATACACAAATACAAGTTATATTGTGACTTATAACTTTTTATTTTTTTCTCAATTTTATGATAGAATTATTAATTGCTATAATTTAGTTTTTTGAAATTTTAATTTATTAAAAATTGATTTTTATAAAAAGTTTGATAGAAATAATAAAAAAGTTCAGGTGATATTAGAAAATTAAAATTTAATAATCTTAATTTGCACTAATCATGACGCACATTCATTAATTTAATACAATTTGATATATAAAGTACTGTTAAGAATCAAATTATTCATTGATTGTACTTTTTGTATGTTTCTGATTAAAAAGTTATATTATTATAGGTTGTAGTTTTAAATATTTATATTAATACTTAAAAATTAGTATGACATAATTAAATATCGTGTAGCACATTTATTATGAATTTGTTGCTATGATTTATAATTTATGTAGAAAAAATAAAGACAGTGTGATATTGCATATTGGTTGAAGATTATTAGAAAAATTTGAGTTATGAATGATTATTTGAAATAAAAGCATTATAGGATGGAATAAAAATGGATCCTTGAATTTATTCTGCTACGGATAATGGTCTATCTCCAAAAGAGGCTACGACCTTATGGGCCTCTTGGCGTTATCCATACATAAATTATACTCACACCGTAGGCCACTTAATTCATCATCTGCACCGCATACACCCAATAATTATCTCTCTCTCTCTCTCTCTCTCTCTCGCTACCGTTGAAAAAAGACAAAATAGAAAAAAGAATCCCAAACTTCTCTACTATACAGCAGAACTCACATGCATCACTTCCCAAAACGCAAAACAACAATCCAACTTTTGTCAACCAATCTGACGGTGTGGAGTTATTCCCACCGAAATCATCATCGTCGTCGTCACCATTTAATGGGTCCTACACCGATCTTCTCTCCACGTGTCCACCATAAATAGGACGGTGGATGACCCCCATGATCCTCATAATTTCTAACCTTCACCCTAATCTGGTAGTTTACTGTTGCATACCCCACACCGGCTACATTTAATTAGTGATATAATAAAACAATCCGGGTTAACCCGACCCGGCATATAGGTCGTAACCCGGTCAAGCATATCCTGCATCGGAAACCCAACTCCTTCCCCTCTGTCGCGAACCTGGAACTCCACCCAATCATCTTCCTCCACGTGGAGAAACCCTGTTGGTGAAAACTCTGGAATCCAATGACACTTTTTAGTATAAAGCGCCCAAGTTTGCTGTGCCCTTTCTCTCCCCACCACCTTCCTCAATCTTTCAACAGGAAAAAAAATGGCGCGAAAATCGCTCTTTCTCTCACGGATTATTCCGGCGATTCGCGTCCTTTTCCTCTTCCTGCTCATTTCTCCGCGTCCAATAAGCGCTGGCCACGATTACGTCGACGCCCTCCGTAAGTGCATTCTCTTTTTTGAAGGCCAGCGCTCCGGTAAGCTCCCTCCTGATCAACGCGTTCGATGGCGCCGCGACTCCGCATTGCACGATGGATCCACCTCTGGTGTATGGATTCCACCTCCATTTTGCCACATTTTACAATTAAATGCTGTTAAGCGTTTCTTATCTTCTTTCTCTGAATTCCAGGTCGACTTAACGGGTGGTTACTACGACGCTGGAGACAACGTCAAGTTCGGGTTCCCGATGGCATTTACAACGACTTTGCTGTCGTGGAGCATCATCGACTTCGGGAGGAACATGGGGCCAGAGCTGAAGAACGCCGTCAAGGCAGTCAAGTGGGCGACGGATTACTTACTGAAGGCGACAGCGGCGCCCGACGTTGTATTCGTCCAGGTTGGCGATGCTTACTCGGACCACAACTGCTGGGAGAGGCCAGAGGACATGGACACACTTCGCACGGTCTACAAGATCGACCGGGCCCATCCAGGATCCGACGTGGCAGGCGAAACCGCTGCTGCATTGGCCGCCGCGTCCATTGTGTTCAGGTCACGTGACCCTGCTTACTCCAGACTTCTCCTCAGCCGAGCCGTTAGGGTACGTTCCTCTTATTACTCCACTATTATTTTACCACTCTTTCTCTTTTATTTTGTCGTTATTTCTCTGGGTAAATTTTCTTTGCTGCTCCTGAAAGGCTGATTCAATCTATGATTCAAGATTTTCTTTTTCTACCTCGGTTCACGAGTAGTTACCGTGGCCGCGTAGCAGGAATTTTGAACCATACTATATATATATATATGCATAAATATTATATAGGTCCTAGTTTTTCTGAAAGGTCGCTTTTCTTAAATTTTGTTTTTGTTTATTTAATATTTTTATTTCAATAAAAACTTAAAATTAATGAATCATAGTTGTAAGGATTGAGTAAATATACAGTGCGTATTTGTTAAAGGTTATGTTTAAAATATCGCGAGAAAATGACCGTTGCAAGAGACGGTTATGGTGTAGGTTTTCGAGTTTGCTGACAGGCACCGGGGAGCGTACAGTGGAAGCTTGTACCACGCGGTTTGTCCCTTTTACTGCGACGTCAACGGTTATCAGGTGAGAATTCTCAGCCATTAGATCGGCGCAAAAGTAGATTTTAACTTTTAATTTGACCGTTGATGACCTGAACTGTGTCTTACAGGACGAGTTGCTGTGGGGAGCCGCGTGGCTGCATAAGGCCTCGAGGAGGCGCCAATACCGAGAATACATAGTTAAAAACGAGGTCGTTTTGAGAGCTGGGGATACCATCAACGAGTTTGGTTGGGATAATAAGCATGCTGGGATTAATATCCTCATTTCCAAGGTGATTCCCTCTGATTGACTAATTTAAATCCTCTCATAATAATAATAGTAATTTATGTATATCACTTGAAATTTTTGGCTACGAGTATATATATATATATATACGTTCCTTTGCTTATTGGATGCTTCAACTTTGTGGGTTTGTCTTGATTAAGTATTGTTGCTCTTCTTGTTCCGTGCCGTTGTCATTGTACGTGGCGTCACTTTACAAAATCACAAGTGTCTGCAAATCACGTGATGTAGCATATATTTTCTTGTGGGGTTAACAGTTGTGGGTCCAAACCTTTTTTGGACCCATCTGGCCTCTTTTAGACTTTTGATCAACTGAACCAGCTTAAAGGTGTGAGCTGATACGCATTTCTACAGTTCTTTTATAGAAAGCATTTCTACATATAACTTGATATTAGTATAATGAGGGGTGAGATATTGAGGCTAAAAGTGATGGATACAGAAATTTTAAACAATTTTTTGTGGAGTCAGGAATTGTGGGTCTGCATATGATGTTGGACCCTAGTTTTTAGATCAAACGGATAAATAGTTTATAAAGTTTGTCAACAATCAAATAAATTAGTCAAGGATAAGAGAGAAGAAAAGTTATTACGAACCTGATGATTGCACATGATGTATGGCATAGAATTTGGCTTTCACGTGACTATCTGGACATTCTCTTTTTTAAGTTAAAAATAAATTGTCATGCATTGGGAGTTTAACATGCCAAGAGATAAGGGAACCTATTTCTTTGCAAGAAATAAGGAAAGAGTTTACATTGTATGATATTTCTAAGACGGGCAATACTGTCAGAGCAACTATGTCATGGGTAAGTGGGATTTTAGAGGCTGTGTCTTGTCCCCTCAATCAAATAAAATATGAAATGAAGTGCCGAAGTGAGGTGGCCTATTGTATATTATTCAAGGTTTAGTTATATATATATTTGTGATTTTCTGAACCGGTTCAGGTGGGTCCTCATTCAGTGACTCTCTGCTGCATGCATGTGCTTAAAGGCTGGAGAAGATGGCTCCTCCCATACTGAGTCATTGTCTTCCCGCGTTAACTTTTCCCCAAAGTGATTGTGACTTATAGATTGTTAAGGCCTTTTCAAGTTTGGACCGGATCAGAGTGGTTGCTGATAAATGCACATGTAGCCAGTAGCATTTAGTATTAAAGTCACACATAATAATACACCCTCAAATTTAATGAATCTGTTAGGTGGTTTATGTCATTTGCACTAAGCATTTCCCCTTTTTCACTACAAGTTACATAATGCATTCAATATGATCCTTATAATTAATTTTTTGTTTATCTAAGTGTTGGACAGGGGTGTGTATTATGTTTATAGATGACATATGGAATACAACATTGAAGGTAGCTATTGACAAAAATAAGGAGTAATAAATATTTATAAGAAGCTATTTTTATTGACAGGAAGTGCTGATGGGTAAAGCAGAATACTTCGAGTCTTTCAAGCAAAACGCAGATGGGTTTATCTGTTCTATATTGCCCGGAATATCTCATCCTCAGGTTCAGTATTCTCCAGGTATTGACTGTTCATGCACACACACACATATATATATATAATACACATAATATGTGTCTGTATCATTCGAAGCACAACACAATAATTAGCAAAGCTTTATTTAACAAGATGCTATACCATATATACCTATAGCTAGTTGTTGATCAGAGGCACGTGATTAGGTTTGTCATGCATTTAACACCCCAAGGTGAGAACAGTATTGATACACCGACGAACTGTTGATTCGCGTGTGGTTTGCACGTGTTTCTGTGTTTGCTTCATTAAAAAACATAAAAAAGTAAATTGCCAATTATAACAATAATTATGCTGCTATTTTTTTCTTCTTTTTATCATTACCAACTTGTAAAAATTTCTCGTCTCCTTGTTTATTCGTTTCTTTCCTGTAACCCCGCAGGTGGGTTGATCTACAAGGCTGGAGGCAGTAACATGCAGCATGTAACCTCTCTGTCTTTCCTACTTCTGGCTTATTCTAATTATCTAAGCCACGCCAATAAGGTTGTGCCATGTGGCGAGACTTCTGCCTCCCCTGCTCTCCTCAAGACGCTGGCCAAGCGTCAGGTAAAATTATTTTACACCTCTTCTGGCCTACTTTTTATGAAACATACTCCGTTACATAATACTCCATGTCGTTTAACACTCATTTAATAATCAAATTCAAATTCTATAAAACTAACAATTTAATCGAACCAAACAAATATTTACATAATTTAATCAAAAAAATGATAGAAGAATTTTCTAAAATAATGAATATGACCACCCACTATGAAATTGGAATACTGCATTTAAAATTTCATCCTCATATGGTATTATTATTTATTCTTTTTCTAATTAAACTAAAAAAAAAAAATCTATTAATAGATTTTATAATATTTGTAAATTTTATACAAACATAAATTCTTAAACCTGCTGCTCAGGTATGAACAACTATACTATAAAACTGATTTAGAGTTGTTTGGGCACTGGCCCCTCACTCAAATATTTGAATTATGTGCACAATATTTAAATCAAACGATTCTGCGGCTGCATTTGTCTGTTACGAATATGGTATATGTATGTACATTCATAATTGTTTGACATTAGACTGCTTTGTTTTGTTCGATCGTGTTTGTATGTAAATGAATACACACACACACACACATATGTATACATGTGATGGTGGCCCACGTATTGAATGAATGGCTTGATCTTCAAGGCGTCACATGTGATTAGTGGTGTTATCGGAATAAAAACAAAAAGAAAAAAGAGGATAATATTGTTGTGGCTCCAACCAGGTGGACTACATCCTAGGAGACAACCCGATGAGAATGTCGTACATGGTTGGATACGGTGCACGCTACCCGCAGAGGATCCATCATAGGGCGAGCTCGTTGCCATCAGTTGCGGCTCATCCAAGGAGCATCGGGTGCAAAGCCGGGTCACGTTATTTTCTGAGCCCAAATCCTAACCCAAATGTTCTGGTTGGTGCGGTAGTGGGTGGACCCAACGTGTCGGATGCTTTTCCAGACTCAAGGCCCTTGTTTCAACAGTCTGAGCCCACAACGTACATCAACGCACCTTTGGTGGGCCTGCTGGCCCATTTTTCAGCCCATTCCTGAAATGAAAGTGTAAAGGATGATGTTAGTGGTGTGCTAAAATGGTCACCCTGCCTTAATATTATTAAAGATTTAAAATTGTTCCTAATCAAGAAAATTATGTTCAATTGGTATTATTCAAGGGTTTTTTTACTTCAGTAGTTATTTTCTTAGCTTTCAAATGTAAAATTATCCCTGAATCTATATATAATATTTGTCTTATGTTACATCAGATCCAACAAAATATACCAATGAATCTCGCACTAAATTTTTACTGGTTTCACTAGATAAATGTTGGGTACAAAAACCAACTTTCTCAATAAGTAAATTTGGTAAACTTTACCAAACTTCCATAACCTTGAGACGAAAAAGTTACAAAAACCAGATGATATGGAAACCGATTCAATATCATTCTAATTTTTTTTTTTGAATACAAGGAGTGAACAGAACACACAAGGTGAATTTACAAAATACATCCATAAACTAAGAAACCTCAATAATATCTTCTTTCATGATGCTAATGAGCTCCGCCGGGAAGTGATACTGGTAATACAAGCCTAGAGGCCAAACAGAGGCTTAGTTAGCTAAAAAATTGGAACAATGATTCTCCTTTTAATAGACATGTCGAATATGAACATTCTAATTTTTTCGTAACCAAGTATTCAATGTCAGAATAAAGTTGAAGTTAACATTAATAAGAATAGTTTCATTGTTAAGGATTCTTTTTAAGATTTGGACTGCAAAAGCGCTATCGATCTCTAAGACAACGTGGCGCGCACTCAGGTTCCAAGCAAGTTTCAAGCCGTCCAGTCCCCAAGAGTTCCGCTTCTTGTTGTCATCGTAAACTTTCCATAATTTTGTTTTCATTTTCAACTGCTTTCTGCATCAGTTAAACGACATAGTTTCAGTCTGTGCTTCACGGACTCAGTCAAAACATTGGGCTTCAAAAACTGACTTCTGTTTTTTTTTTTTTTAAAAATGAAATGGGCTTGGAGGCTTATGAGAAAAATACTGGGCTAGATTGTAAAAAAAGGTAATGTACAAACAAGATAAAAGTGCCTGTAGTGGGCTGCTTGTGACTTAAGAATTATTACATACCTTTGTGGATCATGAATGCATGTGGGTCTATTGGGCTGGACTGTAATAAACTACACGAGCATTGTAACCTAAATTAAGCACCGAACCTCCATTTATTATATAATTTCTCTTAAATTTGATTAAATCACAAATAAAAAAATCCTGTACTTCTTTTTATTTTTAATTAATTAATTTTTAATTTATGCATGACAAAATTAGGATATGCTAGCGGAAAAGCAAGATGGTTTTGGATCTTGAAGGCCCTATTATAGTGAAAGGGGATATATATATATATGAATATGACAATTGTAATTTTTTGAGCTGTTATTATGAAATTATTATTTTATTCGTTAAATAAATAAACCTGTTTACGGTAGGCATTTCTCAGAAGTTATTTAACACCTTCCAAGTTTTTTAAGAATTTAATTGCGTGTGATGCTAATTCATCAACATTGGCGGCTCTCGACTTGTAAACGTTGACTTTGAACCTTTCCTCTTGTTATTATCCATTCTTAGACTGCTCGTTTTTTTATAACACACACTATAAGTATGCAACCAGATCAAAATATCAAACACCATACATTTGCAAAACACTTTGTGCTACCCAAAACGGTGAGTTTCTTTTCTTAGATTTATCAAACAAAATTTTACGAGCATGCAATCTTCAAATCCAAATGCTCACGGCAAGTCGGTTCAGCACGTAACCCAGCAAGAATGGTCAACTGGCTTCTGCGATTGCTGCTCCGACGTCCCAAACTGTCAGTAATTTTAATTTCATTTCTTTGTATCTGCTTCTTTGGTTATTAAAATCTAATTAGTATGTTATTTGTTTACTTTAGGTTGCCTTACGTGCTGGTGCCCGTGTGTTACGTTTGGACGAATAGCTGAAATCGTCGATCGAGGATCAACATGTGAGTAAAGTAATTAAATTTTAATAATGAGTTTTAATTTTGTTTAACAATTAATTAACATGCAGCATGCGGAGCAAGTGGAGCTCTATATGTAATACTAAGTGCCTTGACGGGGTGTGGATGCTTGTATTCTTACTGCTATCGTACCAAGATGAGAGAGCAGTATAATATTGAAGGAAATGATTGTCAAGATTGTTTGGCTCATTTCTTTTGCGAGTTATGTGCTCTCACCCAACAGTATCGTGAACTTCAGAATCGAGGATATAACATGATACTCGGTAATTAATTCATTAAACATTTGTTACTTGAAGTTAATTATTCAATCGTGTCTGATTTGTTTTTCCTTCTTTAAAAGGATGGAACGGAAATGCGGAGCAACAGGGTCGTGGGGTGCCAATGACTAGGCCTCCGGCGGTGGAAGGTGGCATGACCAAATAAATATGAATCAATTCAGATTTTGAACTTAAATTGTGTTGTTGAAGTTAATCTTCTGGAATTTCTGTTTGTTTGTTTGTTTTTTTTAATTATCAGATTCTTACGTTGTTGAAATTAATCTTATGGAATTCCTATTTGTTTAATTTTAAAATTTTTCAGTGTTGTCGAAGATATTTATCTTCTTCTACAAAATAAGAGTTTGTAAGATTAAAATTGAAGTTTGAGAATGAGATTTGATAATAAAATCATAGTTCGAGTGTTACCATATTACGCTTAATTCAGTCAATTATGCATACAAATATTTGATAGTATATTAAGATTTTTATTTTTTATTTAATTTATCTTCGTATAATTCTTGGAATTATTAGTGAGCCCACTCCCATCACGTCACCAAGAAGCCTTCCCAATTGAATTATATTTTGTGAAATAATTAAATAATATTAAAATAACAAAAAACATAATAATTAATTATTCTTAATTAAATAAATATGAACTTAATTATTAGGTGCGAGCACCCACAAACTTATCAATCTTCTTTTTATTTTCTCTTAACAAATTTGCAGTTCATTCAATCTTTTTTTTTTTTACATTCAAAACTATATATAAGTAAATAATTTTTGTTATAGATGGATAATAATTTATTCTTTGGATAGTTAGTTATAGGTTGAAAGATGTTCATTTTTGTGTTGTAAAGGGTAAAAACATTTTCAAAATAATTTTTCAGCAAAAATAAATTACATTTGATGAAATAACAGTAAAAAAGTAATTTCAAACTTAAAAGTATAATTTATTTTATTTTTTTAGAAATGATTGTAAAACTACCATAATTAAGATAAAAATCTAGTGGTGAATTTATTTTAATAAATAAATATTATTTTAAAATGTTTTAATCAGATATAATTGGTTGAAATGACCGAAATGATCCAAATCCGTGAATTAAGTCTGACAGAAAAAAATAAAAAGGCAACACATTTAAAGAGGTTGTACGTATGTATATATCTGTATTCCACTAAAAAGGAATTGTTAAGGTGTAATTGTGGTATATGTATATAGGTATTTTAGGGGAAGTATAAGTATCTTGTTTTTAATCTTTGAACTTTCTAAATTTTTTTTTTCCCATTCTCTAAACCCTAGGAATTTTCTTTCGTTGCCACTCCTCTTCACTATTTAAATATTTTTTTTTTTACCAATTATCCTTTGTTGTTTTACTTTCCTCTTACATATGTTTGCAATACTTAATGATGTGAAGAGGTAAAAGAGGAATTCAAGATTAAGAAGCTGTTTGAATAATGATTCAGTAAGGATGACATGATTTTTTTATAATTTTTTTTTGTTTGTTTGTATTTCTAAATACATAATACAATTTTTTACTGGTTAAATTATGATTCTCAAAATTATAATTTTTTATTTTATTTTTTCAAACCACCGATTTGGTAATTTTAGGATTGTTTGATAATTTTTTTTCCTTTATATTCTTAATATTTTTTATTATTTATAAAATTATCTTTCATTTTAAATCATTTTACCCAACACTTTTCACTCTTCTTCTTTTTTTTCTTATTCTCTAGGGTTTTTTTTTTCTTCTTCTTTTACCCGACAATGATTTAAGAAGAGCTGCACACTTCTTCTTCTTCTTATTTTATTGTGCATATATATATAATTATATATATATATTTTTGTATATAAACATGTATTTATATATTCAATTAAACTCATGTAATTATATTTTTAATTATACACAATAAAATTAATATAATTAAATATATTATATAATATATTTAATTATATTAATTTTATTGTGTATATATATTTATATATTTAATTATACATATATACATAAATTTATATATTTAATTATATATAAATACATGTATATAATTTTTTAATTATAAATATACATATATGTAATATTTTAATTATATATATATATTATATGTATATATTTAATTATATCTATATTTAACACTATATATTTTTCTAATTTTTTCTTTTTTATTTTTTATTTATTACTATATACAATAAAATAGAGACAAAATAGACAAATTGCTCAAATATATAACCATATTATACTATCAATACAAACAAAAACAGGTGCCACTACCAGACATTAATAGATAATCATCTAAACATAGTTAAATGTGAACATTAATAAACCTTACACATACTATACTATACCCAACATTAATGAACCATCATGTAAATCATCCAATCAAGCTCTAAGGCGAAATGCAAGTAACTTCTTTTATAGTATCATAACACATAATGGATAGGGAACATCCATATCAAACAAAGGCTCAATCAAATACATTAGTTTTAGGTACGATCATTTTAAATCCTTTAATTTAAGTAGTTCATAATACATCTGAGTGAACGAGAGATCTGGTACGATTCTAATCACTTAATTTCTTAAAACAACTAACTATTAGACATGGTGAGGTTAAATAAAAGAATGTTGAGAGTAAAAAAAAAATAAGTTTTATAGATTGAACCCTAAGTGAACCAACAAATCCTTCAGATCCCTTAATGGAACATTGGCTATGATTTAATGACATTGTAATCACTTGTATCCAAAACTCATTGTTTGTTGATATAAAGCGTAGCACAGTTTATGCAGATACAATGCATCAATTATGGCTTGCGTTAAAGAAAAGACATGTGCAGCAGATGCATGAAGTAATTATGAGGTAAAGCAAGTGATCACAAACCTCATGTACAATTAAGATCCTTCAAGTATTTACTTTTTAAAATTAAAGAGTTTGTTTGATGAATTAATGACTTATGAATTAATACTGTGACATCCCAAGTGTTAATTAAGGCAAATGAGTGTTAGATACAGATTCAGAATAACAAGTGCATGATAAAAATTTTACAACAGAATCAAACCTTAACAAATTCCTTACAAATATATATAGTATTCCAAATATATACATAAACTGAGGCCAGAAGTGGCTACAAAATACAAAACATAAGGGTCACTTCTTTCACTATGCTGCTGGAATACATCAGAGTGCAGGAATAATCATGCACTCTGTAATACCTAGACCCGAAATTTGACATGAGATTAATTTTAACATTAAAAAAATGTATAAAAATCTATTTTTGAATTAACAAATTTTAATTTAATGTGAAATTATGGAAAAAATAGGTTGAGTATGAAATTGAAAATAATTTTGGAAAAAAAAAGGGTGAAAATTTAGGTTCGAATGGTGTTTTTAAAATAAAAATAAGAAACTAGGGGTTAGAACGCAATCAAAATTTTTTTTACCATGTAGGACCGCTTAGTCAGAAGTCTCGACGAACTAGAGCGCACCGCGTGGCAAGGCATGCTGACTCGGCGCCATGTGGGAGGCCATGCTGATGATCTGCGTGTCCCGCAATCGGATGACCTGGAAGCATTTCCGCAGGTGTGGACAGTTTGGATCTGTTCCCTCCTCAGGTCCGATCAGATGGTCACGATTAAATGCAATGAATGATATAGATTCTTTCACTCTTTAAACACGATTGGATGGTCGAGATCAAATCGCGATAAACAGTCCAGATTCATTTTTTCTTTAAGTACGATCGGATGGACGAGATAAAACGCGATAAACGGTCCAGATTAATGCAAGACGAGTATAAATATTTTGCATCACACTAAACCCAAACTCTAGCCACCAGCCTCTTACCAGAGAAGAAGAATCAGTCGCAGGAGAAGGGAGCCGACCACCGTCCGTCGCCACGCTAGAACCACATTCGACCGCCAAAAAAGGTAAAAATTCTCTCATCCGCTTGAAATTTGATTTTGAGCACCCCCCATGGTCAAATTGGAGCAAAAAGAACGGCTGGAGAGCCGAAAACTGCAGGCAAAATCCGCAACCTCCTCCGATGAGCCCCTTTCCGTTTTCTATTTCGTGTGATTTTTTTATTTTTGTGTTCACCGTTCTATTTTTTACAGGTTGATTGAAAAAAAATGCCCAGCCATGAAGGTGAGCCTCATAGCCGCCGCACCAAAAAATTCTACCATTGGTAAGTTTTCATTTTTTGACATTTTTCGGCCAACCAAGGTCCCCTAACGTTGTTTTTCGCAAGGATGGGTATAAACTCGATCAAAACTGGCCAAAACTTACCCAAAACGGCCATATTGAGCCAAACTACCGCCGCGGGTGGGAGTGCCATCGCCAGAGCACGGCGCTGCCGCTGTGCCGAAACCCCAAAATTTGGCTAAAAAGGATTCTTAACACAAAATTTCCATTTTTAGAGTATTTTCATATACGTGAAGTATAACGGCCCCGAAAATTTAAAAAGAAATGCATATAATAATTTGAGTGCAGAAGCAAAACAAGGTTAAGGTTAACATTCCTTACATGATAATTTAAAAGTACTAAACAAATATTACGGAATAATTTCTCTGAAAAAAATACGAGAAACAGAAAAAATAAAGGAAACTATAAAGTATCTAGCATCTATTCGCAGCCTTCTTGCAGATCGGGCTCGGGAACTAGGTTTTCTTGATCTGAAATAGTTAAATAAAGAGTGAGCTACACTAGCCCAGTAAGGACATCATACTATATCATCAGTACAGAAGTAAAGGTTGGTAGAAAACCAAAAATAACCAATGGAGTACTAAATTTAAACCAATACATTCATTAAAAGTAAAACCATTTACCCTTTTTCTTACCATTGGAGAATATGTGAAAATAACCTATAAAGACAATAACATCATACAGATCATAACTCACACACAGTCAGTAACATAGAACATATCATAAATTCATATTCATTAACAATAACTAATCATCACCGTTTCTCGTTTCACCAGCCTACTAGTATCTATAGGGATCCATAGGGGTGTCCCCGCTACACGTGTTTCCCTTAACAATCTTAATTCCAGGGCCGGCCCCATACCCGGTCCGGTATGAGCACCAAGACATTAAACCTCAATACCCCGTTCGATATGAGGGTGAAGCGGGTTGTCCCCATACCCCGTCTAGTATGAGTGCCAAATGACTAAATCTCTATACATCGTCCGGTATGAGACTACATTCATGGTAGGGTTCCAGTCTCCATACCCCATCCGGTATGAGACAACGTTCACGGTAGGGTTCTTTATGAACCCGATCCGTCCACCATCTCCCAGGATATCTAGTAAGGCTGTCACCTTATTAGTTTATTAGATCACATTCCTTTCCTTTTTCTCCTTAATCTCCATTATCAAATTAAACACAATCACATAAACAATGAACATGCACCCGGTAATACAATCATATCTTAAATCCTAAAATCACA